ATGTCTGCCAGTGCAAACTAATATGGCAGACTGGGACCCTGTTACTTGTGAACACATTATTGGTAGGAGAACAAAGCATCGTTATTTGTTCTGCAATGAACACAGTAGTCTTTTTTTTTCCTTTCCAGTATTTCCCTTAAGCACAGCCTATCTCTTCTGGAGCTGGAACAGAAACTTAAAGATATCAGGGAAGTAGTGGAACATAAAGATTCAGATGAAATTGCACCTTACTCTCCCTTATGTCATTATCTGATGCCAGATGAAGAAAACCCCTTGGCTACCCAGGTACTTGTTTCACTTTTTCATCTACTTTTTTTCATTCTACATTTTTTGTTTGTTTTGGGAAGGGTACATAAGTCCTCTAGCTGTACTGTGGCATCTGTATCTCTAATAAATGGTGATGCCTGTTCAGTCATAAATTAAGTGTCCTTATCTCTTTAATCAAGGCAAAGTAAAGTTGTACTTTCTTCACATTTGATTGAAAACAAATGTGCTCAGAAACAGCCCAATTACTGCTTTCAGCCTGGGACATATGCTGTAACACAGTGCAGTGTAACTCAGCCCTAAGCTGAACTGTATTAGCTTGCACCTGTGTTCAGCAAAGATCATGGACAGCTGCAGCATCTCAGCTGATGCACTAGAAGGTGATGGTGCACTGGAGTCCTTTGTTGCTTTGGGCTGGAGAAAGACCAGGAGTCAAGAGAAAGGTGTATCTGATCTCAGCTGTAACATTAATTTCCTATATTTTCCAAAGGTGTTTGTCTCCATCCACACCACATCGGAGAAAACTCCTTAATTTGGTATTACACTAGTACAGAGAATAACTTGGGCTTAAGTTTTGGAGGTCAGAAGTGGAAAAAATACTTTGCTCAATTAGTTTGTATTTCCTGCTAATATTGTTTTTAGTAAAAACAACAACAAAAAATCCTACAGTGGCCATTTAAAAGGAAAATTAGAACACAAATTATAAAGAATCTGATTTATGACTATAGATCTTTTAAATAGATTTGATTTATACATCTTGACTTAATTCCATGGTACAAAACTCTTCTATTTCTATTCTTACTCTTACAGTTTCCAATGGATTTCTTATTAAATGGTGTCTTGTCTACTTTTTCTAGGCCTGTGGACTCACAGAAAGAGACATTGCTACCATTAAACTACTTAATGAAACTAGAGATATGCTAGAAAGGTATAGAGAAATATCCCGTATTCATATTAAACTCCTCCTCATAACTGTTGTTTATACAAGACAATTACTTCCATATAAGCTGTCAACTTTCATTTGCAGAATGTGATCACTCTGCTGCGTTCAGTTTTTATATTCACTAATCGTAGGCTGGAATTTTCAAAATTTGAGAGCTCTGAAACTTATTTGTAATAATCTTGCCTTAATGAGATGACCTGGATGTCCTTCCCAGTCAGACCCCCCATATCTCTTTTTTACCTTTTCTGTAGTTATGCAGGAGCAGAGAAGTACTTCTCTTCTGCTAAAGCAGGGTAAATGCAGAGTAATTTTATTGGCTTACTCGCTTTGATAAAATGAAACACCAGTTTTGGATTATCAGAATTTTTTTAATGCATGGTTTTGGGAGTGGTTGTATGTGTCCTTTTACCAGAGAGCTACCGAAGTGAGGCTTCTGTAATAAACACTGAATATGAGGGAATTGAGCCAAATGCCAAACTGTTCTTACAATTTAGCTGCTAGGGATCTGAGGCATTTTATGAATAAGTCCCTGCTATGGTATTACTAAGAAAGAGAAGTGGGGAATGCTTCAGATTTATCTGGGGTTTAGTAATCGTAGGGTAGAGTTTAGGTTGTTGATCGGTTTTGCTGGGGAGTTACTGGGGAGCTGGTCTGTCTTGAGGTGGCTACACTGATGGCCTCTTGCCTGGATCAGACATCTTCCCTTGCAGGAGGGACATCTGTAGCACTGAATACTTGCAGGGTTTCCTTAGTTTGAAAAAATAAATCCCAAGAATCAAACCTTCTTTTTTTTTTTTTTTTTCAGTCCAGACTTCAGTACAGTTCTGAGCACGTGTTTAAATAGAGGGTTCAGTCGACTGCTGGACAATATGGCAGAATTTTTTAGACCTACTGAACAGGATCTCTCTCAGAATGGCTCTGTAAATAGGTAAATGTTTTCTTTTGTTGTGGTTCTCATGTGAATAATGCTTTGGGTTCACAGTGAAATCAAAAAAGGGCTATTGATTTTCCTTCCTACTTGAAGTTCTCATGCTGGAAATAATTCTGCTTCTTGCTCTTCAAGAATAAATGGAGTCTACTCAGTTCAGTCAAGCAGACAGCTAGGAGTATTGCACGTTTCTTCCTGCCCATGAAATGGATAGAATTTCCGTGAGGTGTCTCTCCCACCGTTACTTGCAGATCTAGAAGGAGAAATCAGAAGACCTATACCTTCCACTTTTTGCCTGAACACTCTACAAGCAGCCTGCCTTTCCAGCTAAGGGGGATTTACCCCAGGGGTGGTGGCTACTGGAAGATGCACTGCAGTGCCTCCCAGGCAGGCTGTGACAAAGCTAGCGCTCCCCCCGGCAGCAGATGAGCTCTGTACGGCCCCGTCTCTGACTGGCAGTTACTGTGGCTCCTGAGGAAGGTGGGCAGCACCCTGATTGTCCAAACACACGTAGCCAGGGCACGTGCTATGCTGAAAAAAAAGATACTAACGTTCCGGATCTTCTCCCTCTTCCTAGAAGACTGTTTAAAAATAGCTTTTATTCTGAAGTTAGCTTTGGTTTTAAACAGTGCAGTCAGTGTGTGACAAATCCAAAAGCCGAGTTCAAATCCTTGAAATAGGATTTCTAAAATACTAAAATTAAAACCTTGAATAACTGGTTCTATGTATGTTTAATAACTGATAGCTCTCAAACAGTAATGTATTTATTTAAATATAGACCATTTACATAATTTAAAATATCCCAAAGGCTGTAGCTTGGCTTTCTGTCCGAAGCCTGGCTTAGAGCTTGAAATAGTGTTAGATTGTAGACTGGCACTTCTAACAACTGTTTACATACACACCCATGTAAAGACTCTGGCTAAACCATATTGCTCTTGCACGAGAAGCAGGTGTGAAACTGCATAATAGGTACACTAACTGAACTTTGCTTTGGTACTTCTCTACATTAAATGAAAGACTTGATAGTGTGGAAAACATAGGCATGATTCGTGTCAAGATAGTATGGTGTGGTAAGTGTAATTGTTGTACCCTGTGTGGAGAGAAAAAACTTCATCTGTACATTTTAATTTGCAGTCTTTCCAACTCTTGAATTGTAATAATCACAGTTCAGTGGCTTTACTGATGTCAGAGCAGGTCTAGGTCAATATTTTTTGTTCTTTTCTAGTCTTTCCAGTGTCAGTCTTCCTTTAGCCAAGATAATTCCAATAATAAATGGACAGATCCATTCAGTATGCAGTGAAACACCCAGTCACTTTGTTCAGGTAAGAATCTTGCTCATTTAAGATATCACAAGTAACATTTGAAATTAATGTTGTATATTTCTTTTTAATAACATACTTCATTCTGTTTAATTTCAGTGGCTTTTTTAAAAAAAAAAAAAGCAATAATTGGCATAACTTAGATTTTTTTGTAAATTTGTATCTTCTAAAAATATGCTATATTTCTAGAACCTCTTTCCTCTGCTAAACGGTGCAGAAGCACAGAAAGGTCTCTTGACTTGGTTCTACTTGCAGCTCTGTTCATGAACCTTTCTAAAGGTAGAAGTTTCAGTTACATCCCTGGGGGGAGTGTCAGGTGCTTTTCTCATGATGAATTCTCATGATGAATTATGTACTGCAGCAAAACCAGAAGTGGTGGATGTGTCTGATTAAACAAATGTATTCTTTAAATTTTTTCCAGGACTTGTTGATGATGGAACAAGTGAAAGATTTTGCTGCTAATGTTTATGAAGCTTTTAGTACCCCTCAGCAACTAGAGAAGTGAACTGCACATTTATAGAAACAGATCGTGTATTTATAGCAAATCCCTTGTGACTACTGATGAGACTTGGGTTAATTTTGTAACGGTATAGGAGTGGTAGACCAGCAGAACGACCATTCTGAACAAAGGGGGAGTAGGCCCATATTTGTTCTAATAGAATTCTGTTTCAAACACCCATTAAAAATATTCTTGTTTGAAAGAATCATTGTATGTAAAGACTTTTTTCTATTAAAAAAATGGTTAAACTCTTCCATAATTCATTTGATTATTTTCATGGCATGTGATGGCAGTATTACAAGTTACTAAATGGATTTGTTTGCCTGGGGTGTGTAAGTTTAGGAAAAATCTGATAGTGATCTAAATAGAACAAAGTAGCAGAATGAAGTAAGGCTTCCTTCTCCCAAATTTTTCTTTTTATAAAGGAAAACTTTCTCCCATAACTTCACAAATGTTATTCCAAAGAGTCTATCATTCTTCAGAAAGCCTTTGCCAATTGATGCATGTTCCTCTTGAACAAGCTGGGGGGGTGTCCTCTCTGGTACTTAATACTAAAGGAATGTGGATTTTTAGAAGTTCTCTTGTTTATGCTGTTCAAACAGCAACACTGTACACATTAACTTGTAAATATTTTATCTTAATTTGTATTAATTTTGAGCCCAACTGTCTGTACTGTAATAAAATATTTTAATGTAAAATTTGTGTGTGTATTAACATTAATACCAGGAAAGGCAAAAACTTAATTTGGCCTATCACTTAAAATCCTGAAAGAATAAATTGAAATTATACAGTAATAGCTTTGCACTTAGGAAAAATAAACCTTTGATCTCCACACTGAAACAACTCATGCTTTCTGTTGTCCTCTACCTCCCCCTCTTTGCAAACTTCACCGTGCAGGTCTGTCCCTGCAAATCCTGACACAGGATGAGTTTGGGAATTTTTCAAGCTGAGTGCAGTCTACCCTCTGCTTAAAACATTGTCTCTCTGCCAAAGTTGAGCACCCCTAGCAACTCCTGATTATGTCTCTTTTTAAAGTCAGTCAGTCAGTGAAGTATATGTTTTGTTTAATAGTCCACAGAAGGCACCCTGGTAACTGTAAAAACAATGGCTGTAAACAACAGTCGGTTTTAACCATGTAAAATTATACAAAACAGCAAAAAAAACCCTCCCGCTTTACTTGTATCCCAATAAGGGCTAGAATCACTCAGGAGTAGGAACATGTAAAACTAATGACTTCCATGCTGAGAAATGAAGATGTACGTGTGTGTTGCCTCCATGCATTTGTGATGAATTCCCAACCCTTAGAGGACTGCTCTTGCAGATACATTACCCTAAGCAGCTGAAACTACCTGCTGCTAGTTGTTGCACACAACTGGAAAAAGTTTATTCTTTTCTCTAAAACTGAGGTTTTACTGTACGGTTTTGTGGAAGTTAGATTCCTTGTATTAAAGAAGGTATACAACTGATTTATGTGCATCTGAATGCTAGCTTGAGCTAGCTTTGTTCTTTCTCCTGGCTTTAAAAACCTCATGCCTGTGGCTCTCCCCCTGTTCTTCACGTAACTTGGCAAGAAACAGACTTGAAGTGCAGCGTCAAGGTAAATGCATAGGTTTTTACACAAGTTCAAAAAAATTGTATGCAGAGATTCAACTATCTAGTGCTAGATTTTGTGAGGTTCATTCCATTCCATCGTTTAACAGCAGCCCACCTTTCATAAAAAAAGTGAAATCATTGATGTTTCTCAGTCAAGGAAGTACGAGTTAGAAACCAGTGATGAGACACTGAGCTAACATCAGCATTCCGAACTAGCCAAGGCTCCAGCAGTGTAGGGCTCAGCTTACGTCAGTCAGCTGTAAAGTCCAGCCCCACTGACATGGCAATTGCTTAGGAGTTAATTGAGGTAGAGCTATAACGATTCCTTTTTCTCCCAGTGCAACCCACTTCAGCAGTTCCTTGTAGCCAACCAGCTCCACCTGAGATAGAAACATACACTGTAATTAGAACGGCACCTTTTCAAAATGCATATAGTTGCAATATTGACAAAAGAAGCATTGATCCATAGCTACCTTACTCTGCAATTACCCTTAAATGTCACTTGCAGACCAAATGAATTTTAATTAAAAGCAATAGAAAAATACTTGCAAAGCAGATATGTAAGTAATAAAGCTAGTGATGTTGGGTCTCGAGAAGTAGTTAGGGCTGTAAAAGGTACATAAATACTTCCCAGAAGTATTTGGGATGGGGTTTGGGACTAAGCAAGGATCTAGGTGCTGCAGTACACAGCTCTCTATCACTGATTTCTGAAATGCCTGTTTCCCATGGTGGAACTTGTAGTCTTGAATGGACATCACTGTTTCTTACAGAGTGTAGCCAGATCCCTCAAACAAAGCTGACCTGAAGAACCCCTATGCTAAAAACACACAAATAGGTTTTATGGTGAGACTCTCACACCAGCTGGTGAAACTCTGAAATGAGTGGAGCAGCTGAAGACCAGTCTCTACCGCTGAGGAACATTACTCTCTTTTGTGCACACTTAGTCTAGATGCCACTCCAGAATTCAAGATGCATCTCCACCACTTCTGGAATTACTCAGCCTTCTTTATCACAGAGCTGTCTTGGCACTAAGTAGGTTATTTTCCTATGGAACTAGACCAGAAGAGGCAGTCCAGAGAGACCCTTAATGCATTTCAACAGCTAGTGGACATCCAAGGCGTGAGACCAGAACAGCGCTAAGCCAAAATGTATTCTCACCTTAAATGCACAGTGCTGACACCAAGTCCTGAGCACCAACTGTTCTGCTCTATACATCTGCTCCCACTGGGGTACACTATTTGCTAGTGTAGGTGTGGCATCAGCGTCCTCAACTTCTGACCACCGCTTGCTGCACGGGACACACCTGGGGTCGCCCCGACTTACTACTTAACCTCTGGACAACGAAAACCTCTTTGCACTTTCCCTTTGTGCAAAGCTTGGACTTGAAACTACTGCACCGTTACAGCAATTACAGTATCACCAAAGTCAGGAGGATGGCTATTTATAAAGAAAGTTCATGCTGAGTTAGAGTCTACACAGGAAACAGGAGGGGCAGCACAAGGGTTTTTTTCCCTGCTACTTGGCCTCTTTTTATGATCCTGAGTTTGCAAGCTAAAACATATCCCAGCAACAATTCGGTCTAACTTTGTCTGTTGGGAGAAGAAACATCCCACTGGGAGGGCTGTGACAAGGAGGTCCCAGAACAAAAACAAACATTTTGCTGGGTCTCTTCCAACGTACTCTGTCCCAAGAGCTATGCATTCCCAAAGACGACAGAAACTAAAATAAACACAACAGAAGATGACAAATCCTAGAGGTGTTCTGCCTTCGGAGCATGTTCATTTCTTGCACTGTGTGTTAAAAGCCTCCCTGTTCTAGAGGGGAAGGGGGCAGTGGGGCTGTGCTGTCTTTTACCTGTGTTTCTCCAAGCTTAGCCTGTGGCTCACCAAGTTCCAGAGTCCCAGAGTCTGGCCAGTTAAGGAAGATAGCATTGACTTTGCCTGCTTTAGGGCTGAAAGTGTACCTGGTTGGAAATGGGGAACAGAAATGCATATCAGTTTCTCCTTGTAAATTTTCTCAAGTGATATATAGACTTTTCAAGGCTGGAAAAATGAATTTGAAAAGTCAGCATTAATTACATTTTCACGCACATAACCATCTTTTCAGACAATTTATACCCTTTAATAAAGTACTGTTCCTTGGTTCCAACAAACTAGAGGTAACAGAGACTACTAAAGAACTGAATTCAGAGGTAAATGTCTGTAGCAACTTTAGCATGCATGTAGTAACTCACTGCTGCTCAGCCATATGGGAAGGAGGTACTTGCAGGGGGAATCATTAACAGGAGACTGTGGGTTATATTCAGAAAAACATGGTACTTCACACATCTATACACAAACAGACAGACACTCCACTACAAAAAATAAGAGTATGAGCGACAATAAAGCTTCCACCTAGCATAGCTAGTTTTTTAAAAATTTAATTTCAGCAGACATTATTTACAGTATGTCCTTGGAAATCTCGTGGCATCCACTGAAAACATTCCTCCCTCCTTCCTTCATTTAGCTACAATGTTTTATGGCTCTTGGAAGTGGTTTTAATAAACAGTCAACATTTCATGGCTAAAGCCAGATAGCCAAGTCTTACTGGGAACAGGAGTAAAAAGGCCACTGAGGCAGAGGAGAGGGTCAAGACCAAAACCCTGATGGATCATTAAGACATTACAGCAGCTATGAGGCATGAAGGCAGAGGACAGTCCAGAGACTGACTGAATTTAGTGACCAAGCAATTTTTGTTCTCTTCCCACGCATTTTTACCTTAAAAAGAAATGCAGATTATGCTAAACTGATTTCTAATTTCTTTCTCTCCCCTCTTTCACTCTAAACGGTGACATCAAGTATTCCTTTGTACAGATAAAACACTTCATAGCATTTTTGTGTTTCTGGATTTATATTTTTTCTTTATAGTTTCTGTTGCCAGCTACACTAAGAAGCACAAGATCACTGAGGAAATACTTGCAACCTTCCCTTCAGCCTCAGCATCATCCCAAAACTGCAGTCTCCGGCACCCATCGTCTACCTAGTTTTATGTGCAATTACTTAAACTGACGAAAAGCTTGATTTCCTCACAGCATACAAACTCAGCTGGTGATTTCTGTAGCATCAAGTCATTAAGAACTTTGACGTTTCACACACCCTGCTGCTGCTGCTGCTTTACACAGCCTACGTTTTGATTCGGTAGCCTTACCACACTCCTGGTGTGACCGTGTCGTTCTGTGCTCTCCACGGTTTCGTTCCATAGATGGCTCCTCCGTTGACTTCCAGCCAGGCACCCATCTGCCTCAGGCGCTCCTCAAATATAACGGCGATGCGACCATCGTGAGTGGGGCCGATATTCATCAAGAGATTTCCTCCACAAGACACCGTTTCTACAAGTTGCTGACATGGTTTTAAACACATGCACAGAGCATATGGTTACGGATAATGAAATTATACATTTGAAGTACTTTAGAAAGTCTGCCATACTGCTTCAGAACGATGAATCAAACAGGTTATGATCCTGCTGCATGTTTAGACTTTGGGGGTCATCCCAACAGTCAATACACAATTTAAGTTCCCATAAAATAAAGCTCTGTTGTCAATTTTTATGGCAGAAGACAGCTTAAAATATATTTTTGCACCAGTATGTCTGACTGAATCTACATTAGAATCAGATCCTACAACTTTTTAACATTTTGACTTCTGCTGAAATTTCATAAAGGTTTTACCCATAGAACAGACAGATGATTTCTCTACACAAGAGATGCCACTTCAGTTTTACTGAAGCTGAAAGAAGTAACTTCCTCCATCTTCCTCTGATGCTCTCCCTGTTTTACGGAAACATCAGTAAAACATGAGGAAGCCTTCTACAATCCGTAAATATTTGTGTTCACATCCACACTGCCCTCCAGAGATCAGACTGAGATGCACATGTCTGAGGAACAGACAGCTGGAGATGTTACTGAATTAATTTAAACCTCCTGCCTCTGAAGAGAGGTTACTTCAATTTGAAATTACCTTTTCCAAGGACAATACTAGGAACAGATTTGGATTAAGCAACAATAACAAACAATCTTCCCCTCACTAGCTGAATTTTGCAGTTAAAGGAAAGATCAATCAATCTTCCTTTCATTCAGTTTTCCTAAGCTTCAAATCTTTAATACCTTAGACTAACAAAGGGAATCAATGTTCTATCAACACCAGCAGTCTGCATCTGCTAGTGTTCATCTGTGTGTTCATCTGTATGTTCGTAGTAAATATGCTGGTTTTTCTTCTTTAAATGAAGTGAGATGAAAGGGAAGTCTCTTGCTACAAGTTAAAAGGACTATTATGAGTAATAAACTGTTTCTAGCTAGAAGGGGGAAATGATAAGAGTCTTCAGTCAGGAGTTCCTAAACAGGAACTGGGAAACTACAATTGTTTGCTTCTCGTCAACTTAGAGGTACAGTTACTAAGAAAACTTAGCAGAAAAGGTAATTATGAGACTATCCAGATCAGTCCTGGGCTCACAGGGAAACAGCTTCCAGGAAACTGGCTGAATTTTTAGTAGATAATTTTTCTTTTAGTCATTTCTATAAAATTAATAAGAATTACATGGATATTCCATCCTGCCAGTGTTAGGCTGCAAATGAACAATATGATTTATTATTTCATTGATTCATTATTCAATTAATATTTTTGTAAAAATAGATACATAATTGAAATGTTATATAGCATAACATAATAAACAGGAGGCTCAGAACCAGAAGTTGCAGGCAACGCCTTTGTCCCACTGTACCTTCACCAAGTCCTCAATTGTGAGGTAATCGTCAAGCTGTGTGTTCCTCCTGTAACCCCACGACCTCTTGTCAATAGTCATACAGTTCTCCCACTTGTGAGGCAGGAGGTGGCCGGGGTTATACCGGTCGCTACAAGTGTAGAAGCCGCCGTGCGTACAAATGCTGCCAACTCCCCAGCGGTCGTTCGTCACAACTGTGTCCCGGACTGGACTGGAAACAGAGAAATTCTATCATTTTATCATTTATCATTCTATAAAATGCAGTCACAGCCAGTGTAATCCCTTCCCACACACACCCCTCCCAGAAACTAACATTTAGGATTACTTCTGTACTATTTATTACAATTATGTTCAGTGCAATTTCAGGAATTTTATTATCATGCTTTTCAATATTCTCAAATCCTCAAATTATCCTGCTAGTCTGTGCAGTAGACAATACTCAGGGAAGAGTACGATTAGGCAGAATAGCCAACACCATCTTAACTGATTAATTTGCAAACATGGTTAAAAAAATATGAAAGTCTTTTTCCAAAGCAAGCTTTGATAGTTCAAGGGAAGACCAGAATTCTGTGTTTCGGGAAAATTAGTATTTAGTTTAAGTAAGTAGAGGACAGAGAGATGGAAATGTTTGATAATACTGTTCTGAAGCAATTTTGTCCACAAAATATACAGAAAATGAGACAAACCAGACACAGAGCAGTATTTCAGATAAGACGCTAAACCAACGTGATAATGTACCTGTCGTTATACAACCAAGCCAAGAAACCAGTGCTGTTCCAGTAAGTATCTGGCGCATTTCCATTGCCATCAGACCAAATAATTTCTGGTTGGTACTTGGTCACAATTTCGTAGAGTTCTGGTAATGATTTACTGGTTGGAAACTTTCTTGTCTTAAAGACATTGGTGGCATCCTCAAGGAAGAGAGGATTAAACCATTCGAACAGGGAATGATATAACCCAAAATGCAAGTCAGTCCTGTTTCTAACAGATGTTGCTAGTTCAGCCACAAGATCTCGTTTCGGTCCCACATCAACAGCATTCCAGTTCCAAGAATACTTGGACCCCCACAAAGTAAAGCCTGAAAAGAGAAAAATAAAAGGATAAGAAAGGGAAGTTGAAGAGGGGAAGTTATAGTTCCTCTTTCTGCAAAGTAGTTTGCAGGTGTGTTGCAAACAATAAATACAAAATAATAAAAGTCATATATGTAATAATATTGTTATCACGGTATAAAGTATGCCTATGGTCTGTTTATGCACGATAACAGTACTCATGACATCAGAACACCATGCCAGATATGTTTATGTATTTTTTTTATATATACACATATGCATTTATATTTTCCAGTTCTGTACTGTTTAGGAAAATTATATCTTCTCATTGATTATTCACTCCATTCATAGGTACCAATTAAATTTACCAAAAATACAGCAACTTTCAAGGCATCTACATTTTCACTCAAGTATCAAATGTGAACTGTGAATACACATTCAACAATTGGAAAATAAATGCTTTCTCAGTTGCAGAATGCACAAGGTGTCATTTGCATTCAATGACTATTCTCCTTTCTGTTTACATCTTATGCAAATGTTCACTTTTCATTTGTCTTGACATTTATAACAGCTTAATCAACTACTCAGTACATGTATATAAGCAGAGTGCAAAAACTCCCGAAACAGCTTTTAGAATACCAGCGTTAAATATCAGGAGGGATTTAACGTTTCAGACATCCAGCAATCCAGCACAAGCACTTAGAAGTACTACTGCACTGCAGACTTAGACCACTGCCAGCAGAGCTCCACCCTCACCTTCAAACTGCTTTAGACGCATTGCCCAATAAATCTTGCAATATTTTCGTAAACTGGATACATGTAATTCTATCAACTAGACAAACAAGCTAAAAATTAATGTCCAATGCTACAGGACTGACCAAATGAAACATGGTTCTTTTGCAATCACTGGGAATTGCGTCAGTGGCATCATCAAGATGAAGTTTTCGTGTGTCAGAGGTGAGAATAAAATTCACAAGTTACAAGCTGCCAGTCTTGAACCCACATCTCCCCAAGGACCACCAACATGCACTAGATGTACTGTCACATTGCATCTTACTACTTTATACTTACTTTACTACCATATTTCTTCCAACCTCTTTCTTTTACTTTAGTTTTCTCTGCAAAGCATTTTACAATTACAGTGACAAAAATCAATTGTACCTGTAAAATTAGAGACCTGGCTCAAGGTTTTGGCTTCTATGCACTGCATCAGGAAGAGCTATACCCTGTGTACACTCCTAAACCTGAAGTTGACTCCTAGAACACACTCCTAAATTCCCTGGAGAAACCTACGGAGCTCGTTAACTGCCTGTACGCAGCAGCTCTCTATATGTTAGCGAGGAATTCACTTTTGTGGTTCCTTGAACAATAAACTGGACAACAATCAAAAATAAACTATGGCTACTGCAGGAATCTCAGATGCACCTGCTGCTTCAGGCTGTCTTACCTACAGCAAATGAACAATGGCACAACCTATTTTCCCTCCTATGCAAGTTTCATGGCTATAGCTTTTAGGCGTCAGGAAAATGGATGCACATTTCTTGGGTGGTTTGCTTCCTCTTTGGCTGTATTAGGGCAGGTAAGCCTGGCCTGGCTTTCTCTACCTCTCTTAGCAGGCAGGAAAGCCACCTGGCTTTTTCTTCTGTTAACAGAAATGCAACAATTACTAACATTCACAAACCTTCCACTTACCTTCGTGATGTTTTGAAGTTAAGACAACATATTTTGCACCTGAAGCCTTCAGAATATCTGCCCACTGGTTGGGATCAAAGAATTCTGCTGTAAACAGTGGCCCAAAATCTTCATAACTGAACCCAGGTGGGTAATTTGCCTCCATAAATTTCACGTAGGGCTCTCTCTTTTCCTTCTGCCAGTACCACCTACAAAATGTAGAGCAAAACATGTCTTCTGGTATATTTTTAGACAAAGAAAAGAGAATATAAATCATCAGCTCCTATTTGAGTTTACACTGAGAGGCATGTGCACTGGAGGTACATGATGCTGACAATAAGACAAAATTGCTTCAGAACAGTATTATCAAACGCTTCCATCTCTCTGTCCTCTGTCCATGCTCTACATCTTTCAAGCACTCCACTTTGGAAAGGCCCCACGATGTCATTTGGAGCAATGAAACAAAGCAGTTACTCTTTGATAATGGAAAAATGGCAGCTTTGTTCAGTACCTAAATCCTGAAACTGCACTAGAGAGCACAGGTAGACAGTCCATGTAATCATCGCAGGTGGCACAAGGAATGCACTTTTTCTGGACTAACATGACTCACCCTCCTCAAATCTCACACATCAGCCATCTCTGCTCTGCCCCCCCCACACTGCAACCCACAAACACGGGGCTTTACCTCTCTGCCAGTCCAGAGTCCTTTATGTCAAATGCAGCTGAGTGACCTCATGTGTGAGCAGATGCCCACAGGCCCAGAGCAGGAGAGAGCTGTGACTGCGGGGCACTGCAGCCGCTGCACGCATGAGGCTCTGAAGCAAAGGCACCCTGCTAGAAGGCATGTCCTCCAACAACAACCTGCCTCTGCAAGAACCACACGCTTAAAAATGCACCTTCGTCACAGGCTCTAACATGCAGGCACACATCTACCTACCTACCAGTGCACACAGATTTAGGAACTAGAAGGAAAAATAAATCGATGACCTCTTTTTGCATCCCACCTAGCAAAGACAGGGACAGTTTCTATCCTGTGCTTCCCCACAACAGTGACCAGTATTATCAGTATCCCAACTGGTCCAGTCCACAGCAAGGCTTGGAGCTCCGCTCTGTGGCCTGAGGATGGTCTCTCACCCTCATCATAGGCAGAGATCATAAATCACTAATAGAGCACTATTTATTTTCAACCAGGTTCATCCTTCCCCTCTCTAGCAATGAAAGAAGAGCACCAGAAACAGTATGCAACAATCCTTAGTGCATAAACAGCCTTATTGCTGGAGACCTTCTAACAACAATATATATTGTGACTGCTAACACTTATGGAGAAAAGGGTCTGAAAGCATTCACCTTCCTATGAATGAGGCCAAGCAGCAAAAATCCTGTTGGTAAATTTAGACATAAATGAAAACAAATTGAAAGTGGAGGAATAAAACAGGCCAGAATCTGAAAGTTTGAAATGTGTTGTTCTCTCCTGTCCTAAGCTGGACTCTGACCTCAGTTCTGCAGGACTACAGTAACTCTATGGATATTGCTGTAACCCTCCCAAACAGACTTCAGCATAAAGAAACATGATCTCTGACAGCCAGTAACGGAAAAAGTCTAGAAGAAAGAGGGTGAGACAGCCTTCCACACGCAAAGGGCCTGGGGGGTGGAAAAAAAACAACACAGCCTCTGATTTTAAAGTATGTAATTACACAAAGAAGCAGGTAACAGCCTTGCTTCTCTCCCTTTCTCACATGGTTTGCTAACATGAGCACTTCTACTCTGACATGATTAGATTCTAGAAACATCCTGACCAAGGCTTTGCAGCTCTGACGGAAGGAGGACGGGCTGAGTGATATCAGAGTTTATGACCTTCCATTTGAAGCTGCTAACACAGGACCTTGATCATCTGACTGCACATGCTGCCACAAGGCCCTGAAGCAGCTCTACATCCATAAGTGCCTAAGGATGGGAGGCTATGGGAATATAAAACACAACTTCAGTAACTACATTAGTGTTTTGGTGTCTTTTTAGAGCAACAAAAACCAAACACTTTATCCTGAATCTGTGCACCAAGCCGTAGCTAGCTCCCCCCTCACCAGGAAAGTAATATATTAGTAAACAGAGTCCACATCAAAAAACTGCTGAAACCCTTGAACGTAACTCTGAAAAGCACAGACCAAATATTGTCAGAAAACCAGGTTTGTTTATACCGACGTTGGCTTATTTTACAAACATTGCATTTAAGGTTTACCATAGCACTGCCACAGAACTGTTATCTGCATATTGTAAATGATAATGCAAGTTCATACAGGAAGTATTTGGTAGAGCATGGAAAGCAGATAGCAGAAAAATGCTTACAGCCAAAAGGCCTCAAGCATTGAACACTCACAAACCAAAGGTTTGATTCAGACTTCGAAATTAAAATTATTTGAAGGATGAGAGCTTTAGGCTCTCTTAAGTGGAAAGTACTCTTTGACAAAAATAATAATAGAAAAGTAGAAATCCATCAACAGCACAAAAAGCACACAAGGAAACTGCTGCCAGTTTGCCAAGCGATGGAGGGAGCGGTGGGCTCCTGCTCTCCCCACAAACCGTGCCACAGCGCTTCAGCACGGGCCGTGCAAGGCCCCTCCGGGGGCTGGGAGCTCACCGACCCCCGTCCCTCCCCGCAGGTTCTCCCTGGGCAGAGCCCCTCCATCCATCCCGTTATCGTGGCCCTGGAGAGGTCTCGTCTGCCGCTCAACCAACCACTTCTTTCACCGATGCTGTGGAAACCACATCTTTAGCTCTACAGAACTCTACAAGCTCTCTGCTTAATTTGGTTAACGTCAGCCAACATACTCAAGAGTTTTAGGGTTGGGCAGACAGACAGTCAGACGTACCAGAAGCACATCAAACTCTGCTTCCTTCGTCAACGGCGCCACAAAGTCCGTGGTCCCACCGTCCAGCCTCACGTGGAAACAAACCTCATCCCACACAGCTCCAGGGTCAGTCTGCAAAGGGGCTTTAAACCTAACCATCATTTAAGGGGGGGGGGGGGGCGACACGACACCCCGCCAAATCCCGCCCGCCCAGCCCATAGAGCTGCTTTCCAAGCAAAACCCTCCGGTCGCTGGTACGACCCGCTCGCGGCAGCCATTTGGGTGCGACCCTCCCGGCCGCGCCCCGGGGCTCCGGGGCCTGAGGGGGCTGCGGGGCGGCGCCGGCGGGGAAGCCGCGGGCCGGGCCGGGCCGCTGCGGCCGGCGGGGCGGAGGCCGGGGAGCTCACCAGAACCACTCGCTGCCGAAGCTGGGCACCGAGAACACGCCCCAGTGGATGAAGACGCCAAACTTCGCCTCGTCAAACCAGGCGGGCAGCGGCCGGCCGTCCAGCGAGCCCCAGCTGGGCTCGTAGCGGGGCCGCCCGTCGCCCCCCGGCAGGAGCCCGGGCAGCCCCAGCAGCAGCAGCAGCAGCGGCGGCGGCCGCGGCGGCGCGGCGCGGCCCAGCGCGCCCGACATGGCGGCGGCCAGTGGTGGGGAGGCGGCTCCTGAGGGTGGGGAGCACCGGCCGCCTCCCCCAGCGCTCGCCTCCACGCTGCCCGCCGCCGCCTGCGCGATCCGCGGCCTGAGCCCGGCCGGAGTCTTGGGTCCGCGGCCGGGGTGTGCCGGTGCTGCCCTTCCCGCCTGCTTCCGACCCCAGGCTCGGCTCCCCTCCCCTTCCCAGGGCGTCACATTCATTGCTCTGCAGCTGCTTCCAGGGCAGAGACGTGCCCCAAAACCCGTCAAGGAAATTCTTCTTTGACCATTAGAATGGCTTCAGAAAGCCTGTGCTGAAGCTGCCTCGATTCAGTAGATGATACTTGGCATTTGTGGTGCGGATCGTGAGTGGCAGGCACATACTTCAAAAGATGCCTCTTCCAGCAAATTTGTTGCCCAGGCTGGTGCTTCTCCAGTCTTTCCTGATTCCCAAATTATGTATTTTTGCATCAGACCCTAGAGGCTGTGGGACAGTCTTTGGGAAATAATTTGGTTTAATCAGCAAATACTAACTTTCCAAAATCATCCCAATGAATGGAAATTTCTTGGGCAGTCTCATCAGAACAGTTAAAAATGAATGAGCAGGCAATTGAATTAATCTCTCTCCACCTGGGAAGGATGTGTACTTTACTGCTGTTCTATGGAAACAGAACTTAAGTTTCCAGAGCCATTAACCACAGCTGTTACATTTAATCCAAAAATATTTAAAGGACTGTGAAAACAGAAAATAGGTAAGTTCTTTAATATTTTAATTTCTATACCTTTGTGGGTGTATTAAGTTACAGGCTGATTAAAAACATCATGATGTCCACAGTATCATTCTTTCTGACTGACTGTTACTTTACTCTGATTTACAAAAGCACTTTCATATCACAATAGGAACCTCTTCATATCTCTTTTACATTCAGTGTTGACCTTCTTTCTCTATGTCTTCTTTTACCTTCACCCCCTTAGATGTCAGTTTGCTTCCCAAAAGAAATCCTTAAACACCTTTGACCTCTTGCTATGCTATCTTTTCTAATCTATCTTTGGATTTCTTTATGTGTTCCTTTTCTTTTTGATCACGCCAAAGCATTGCAGACACTGAGCAGCTCCTTAATGTGGGAATTTTGAAGTAGGCTTTCTGAAGTTTATTCTGTACAACACACCAAAGTTACAACTGTTCTGTGGCTCAAAATGCTTTGAAGGAAAAATAATTTAAAAAAAGGTCAGGGTCTGACCCAAAGCCCACTGACATCAGTGACCTGCCATCGACTTTGGTGAGATTTGGAGCAGGAACTGTGCATTTCAATAATGAATTTGATCACGTCTTTTAAATTTAAAAACAAACAAACAAACAAACAAACAAACAAAAACAGTTCAGTATATAGCAGTCATGAGTGCACTTCTGCTAGGGCGTAAACAGGTTCAGAAAATGTCACCAACCCACACAGGCACAGCTACTGAAATCTCCAGTGAGGGAAAAAGTCTTCAGTGCACAGTCACATCTGTAATGATGCAAGCCAACATGGGTAAATAATAAAAATAAGATTTTGTGAATACCGCAAGACCAGTGCCTGTGACGGCAGGAAGCTCCCTCCAGCCGGGCGCAGCGTGCCAGCCTGCACGACACTGGAGCCCCCAGGCCCCCCCAGGAGGGTCTGTAAGAGTGGGGCTCACTGCTGCGCCCCACAAGGAGCAGCCCCTGCCTCTCCCTCCTGCAGCACGCTCCTGCCAGGAAAATTCTCCACGGCTAGGGAAAGGAACAGGCTGGTCCATCAGTGGAGGGAAGGGGGAGAGGAGTTAGTGAAGGCAACTCCCTGGGAGAGGCTGAGCAGAAAAGACCTTTTGACCTGACTAATGGCTGACATACGAGACTCAGGTACTGGATCGTTTGGTTGGGCAAAGGCAAAGGGTGCCTGAGCTGTATGGAAGACCCCAAAAACACTGCCCACTCCTGGGGAGCCACACGGGGCCTGGCGGCAAGAGGAGGGCACTTGGGTTTTGGGGGGGAAGCAGAAGCCAGAAACTGAATCTCCAACGGGCATGTTTCAAACTTAGTAAGATTTGATTCAGCCCTGTGGTGTGGTAGTTGCTAAAATGTTGTCATACAGCCCAAATGGGACTTTTATATTTGATAGCTAGGTGATGTGGCACTGGATGCCTTAAAAGTGCAGGGCGTTAAGCACAGGTGCTGTTAATTGTCCCATCTATCTTTGCCATTGTGCCAGTGGCTTCAGGGCAGCAAGGATTTTATTCAAGGCAGTATATGAAATTATTTGCCCGTAAAAAGCAGTGGAAACATTAAATATCCCTTTAAAGATGAATCGTGTCATAAAAGTGTATCTGTAAAACAAACACCAGAAAATGAAACCGCGGGGCTTGACTTTGCTTTTGCCAAAGTTGCTGCAACTCCCGCTTCTGATGTGAAAGGCAGGACGACTATCTTCCTCCCAAAACGTTGAGTCACACGGTCGTAAAACTGGTTGTGAAAAGCCTCTTGCTTGCAACCCAAACCTTAAGAAAGACGAAAGGGGGGGGCAGACAGAAGATTTGACTCATCGCCCTTCCCACTCGGCTGCAGGGATGCGATGCCTTGTGCAACCTCCGGGGTTTGCGGGGGACGGGCCGGGGGAGGAGAGAGGGCACCCTCTTACACAAAACAGTGGTGTCGGTTCCTCGGCTCTTTTTTAACTGATGCTCTTTTTTTTTTTTTTTCTTCCCCCCGAGAGTTGGAAATGACGGGAGCGGGCAGCACGAAGACACTGCGGGGGGGCGGGGGGTGGGTGCAGATGCCCGGAGGGAGGGGTCGCGGGGAGGACCTCCGCGTACCCTCCCTCCGTGCATCTGCACACACACACCCACGCCCACACCCCTTGCTTTGCCGCCGTGCAAACACAAAATTCAGGCTCCGACAGACCCCAAATCCCCGCCGCCGTCTCGGCAGGGCGGCCCCGCTCCGGCGGGGCGGCCGGAGGCGAGGGGCGGCTCTTGCTCTGCAAACTTTCCCTTTCCCCTCCTTCGCCGCCTCCTTCCCTCCTCTCCTCCCTCCCTGCCCCTCTCGGCTCCCCGTCGGCGATGGCTGAGAGACCGGGGAGCACCGGGGGAGCACCGCCGCCCGCCTGGTCCTTGCCCGGTCCCCGCGGCCGCTCCCAGAGCGACATCTCCTCCTTCTCCTCCTCCCGGAGAACCTGCCTGCTCCGGACCAACGTGGGCGGCTCAGGTAAGGGGGAGGGAAGGGAGGGTTCTTGTGTCCGAGCCCGCCCGGGCCGAACTGAGCCGGGGAATTCGAGAAGAGCCATCCTCCTCCGCACCCTGCCCTGCCCTCCTGGGCCGGAGAGTGTCTTCCCTCGGTGGCCAAAGTGTGGGTCTCTGGTTTACGGGGTGTTGGATCTGCCCCTTGAGATGATGTTCGTCAAGTTCCCGGCTTTTGAAACTCGTGTTTTCAGGTTTAAGTGAACCCCAGCAAACAAACAAGATGATGTTCGTCAAGTTCTTGGCTTTTCATACCCGTGCCCTCAGATTTAAATGGACCCCAGTAAAGTCGTGGGTACCCACCCACTTGCCGAAGCATCTCTGACTGCAAGGGCAGAAAAGCTTCAGGGTTTATTGCAGAGACATCAAAACTCCTCATCCTGCCACTTCACACATTACACTTCAATTCTGTGTTAGGATTTTACCTCATGCACTTACATCTCCTTTGGGTTTTCGGTTAACAGGTGAGGCCACAAAAAACTGTGTGAGGCAGTATCCCACAGTCCCCCTTCAGGAGGTAACCACTGCAAGTGCACATGGGATGATTTGCGGGTGGAAACCGGCCCCTTGGGCCAGAGTAGGCTTCCTGCAGGATTCGGAGTAGCTTTGCTGTGTAAAATGAGAGGAAGTGAGCATCCTAGTTTACAGTGCAGATATTTGAAAGTGGCCAAAGTAAAATAAATATATACTCCATTGGGCTATTCTTTACTCAGGCTGTTTCCTGAGGTCAGGTATTAAGGAAAATGAAATTCTGGTCTCCATACTGCTGAGTGCATTTTGAATGCATGTGCTCGCCCGGTTGCAAATCAGTCCTGCCTTATTGACTAAAACAAGACTGTAGGCACATACATCCCTGGCAATATAGGTATTTCGGATGCACTTGTACCCTCCACTGCACAGAGGTACCTGTGAACCACAACGCCGTCAGGGAAGCTCCCGGCTGTACTGAGGGGCTTCTGCTGCTGCAGCGCAAGTAGGACAGCACAGTGTGTGCTCGGGTCTGCAGTGGACCACAATGTCCTCTTCTGTTTGCTTGCTCCCCAGGGAGTGTTAAGATGAATGCAGGCCATATGCTTGGGGAAGCTCAAATATACAGCTAAGCCTGCCAGATGAGAAGGGAGGGAGTGCAAACTTTCTTAGTCACACAGGAGCAAGTAGATTCAACTTGTGGGGCCAGAGACTGCATGCAAAACCAACTCTGTGTGCCATTCTCTGCATCATTTTCTGCTCTACCTCTTCTCGTGTCTACTTAATAGTTATATTGAAGGACATTTGGGACAGGGAGGAGGCAGGAGGTTCCAGTGGTTTGTCCAAATCAGAAAGGACTACTTTGAGGTGCAAGGTGTATTTCAGCACCTTCTGGAAGCGTGCTGCATGAACAACGCTCTGCGACTTGATGTGTGCACAGGATGCCTTAACCTGGATGCAGAGGGATCACCACAGAGGTCGACAGGATTGAGACTATGTCAATGTTAGACTACGTTGGTTGTTAGCTTAACTACAAAGACTACTAACAATGAGCTGGGTTCACTAGAAGAGACTGGAAAATCCAGTGGAGGTAAAATGATGGTGCTTTCAAAGATGTGTTGTTATTTGTAGTTTCTTACAGACAAAATTTAGGCCTCCTTGTTGCCCTACTTGATTTTTTTCTTTTAATTTTGAGGATGTGCTTCCTGCCAGCAAGTGACAAGAGTTGCTTTCTCTGGTTTTTATTTTTTTGACATTTTTTCTTTCATTCTGTATTTGCTCTGCTGCTGCTTCCTCTATTTTTTTCGAGCTGCTCACTAGGCACAAAAAAAATACTTATATGCTGCCACACAACTGTTGATTCCCCCTTTAAAAAGGAAAGTATGCATTAAAGATGCAAGGCTATTTAATTTTTAATGTGGTGGTTAGAGAATTGTTTTTATATCGAGATGCCATTAAAATAACTCGCTTTTTCCTTCCTCCACTAATGTGGAGAACAACCATAATGGGGACAG